GCAGCGCCTCCCGCTGGCAGATGAAAGCCAGATCGAGAGCCCTCTGGGGCGCCTCGGCAGGCAGCCCCAGTGCGTCCCCTGCGACCCCCTCGGCGGAGCCGGCGACCGCAGCGGGGTCGGCCCGCCCAAGTGGCGGGGGGACGCGCGCGGGAGGGGCAGGCGGGAGCGCCTGCGGAGGGGCGTTCGACCGAGCCTTCCCCCACGCTGAGACGAGCGCCGAAGCTGGGGTCCCAGCGCGCAGCTGGACGCGATGAGGTGGCGCAGGTGCCCTGGCCAACGTGGCCGCGATCCCGAATGGCTGAAAACCCAGACGAACCGCCACGTCGGCGAAGGGCTGGAGCGCCTCTAGCCTCGCGGAGGGCGCCCCCAGAGCGACGCGAGGCACACGGCCGTGACGGCGGCTCCAGCCCTGGTGGGGGCAGGAAGCCTGGAAGACACGGCGAAGTGGCCATAGGACAGCTTTGCGGCGGCGTGCCCAAATCGCGAGCTGCGGCGGGGGCTGAGGGATCGGTGCGACCCGTGCTCTGTGGCGCCGAAGCAGCGGCGCCCGGCAGGCAGGTACCAGCTACCCCGAAACCATCTGCAGCAGCAGCAGAAACATGTCGCGTAGCGCCTGACAACAAGGGGGCCGACACTGGCAGGGACGCGGGGTCCGTCGACGCCGAGGTTGGATTCCCGAGTAGCCCGAGCGAGTGCAAGATGGCGTGGGCGCTCGCACGGGAGGCACTGACCGCAAGCGGCTCCCTTGGAGGCAGGGGTGAGGCCCCTAGGCAGGGGATCGCCGACTGCCCACTTCCGCTGTCAGGAAAAGGAAACCCAACCGCGGCGTCGGTCGCGCAACGGTTGTGCGGCGGCGGCACCCGAGCGCCCGCCTCCAGGCTAGCGAGGCAGGGAGATGGCCCCACCTGCCAGACCGCAGGGCCCGACAGCGCCTCAAACCCAGGTGGCGGGTGGAAGGGCAACACTGTCGAAGCGCCCCCTGGCGTAATCGCTGGCGCTAGTGCCGGCGGAAGCGCAGGCGTCGGTGCTGCCGCCGTCTGTGCTGGCGTCAGGGCTGGCGTCGGCGCTGGCCTCGGTGCTGGCGTAGGCGCTGGCGCTGGTGCCGGCGTAAGCGCAAGCGTCGGTGCTGACGCCGCCAGGTGCTGGCGTTGATGCTGACGTCGGTGCGGCGCTGGCGCTGGTGCTGGTGTAAGCGCACGCGTCGGTGCTGCCGCTGTCCGTGCTGGCGCTCGTGCAGGCATCGGTGCCGGCCTCGGCGCAGGAGGAGGCGCTGGCGCTGGTGCCGGCGTAAGCGCAGGCGTTGGTGCTGCCGCCGGCAGTGCTGGTGTTCGTGCATCAAAGCCAGGCGGTGGGCCCATCCGCCAAGCACGCGGCTGCAACGGCGACTCCAACCCAGGGGGGGGCCGGAAGCTGGCGCGAGTCGGCGAGGCGGCTCTGGGACTGCTCCGCGGTGGCCCTGTGCGCTCGGCACGCGTCTGTGACGGCGGCTCCAACCCTGAAGGGAGCTGGAGTCCCGAAAGCGAGGGCAAAGCTGCCTTGGGACCGTCTCGCGGCGGGGTGCTAAGCTGGTTAACTGCGGTGGCGGCTGGGGGAGCGGTACGAACCCCTCCCTGCGGGGCCGCAACAGCATCGCTGGAGGAGCGCATACCCACCCCCTCCAAACCGCCAGAATCCACAGCGTCCGCCGCTACAGTAGGCGGGGGAGGCACCGCGCGCGACAGCTCGTGGGTGATTGCCAAACGAACAGAGCTCCCGCCCCGCCTGGTTTCGACAACCGACGGCTCCGACCCTGGAGGGGGCCGAAAACCCGCGGGAGCGGGCGAGGCGGCCAGAAAACTTGCTCGCGGCGGGCGGCCAGACTGGTGAGCCAGGCCGACGGTTGAGTGGGCGGCACGACCCCTCCCCTGCGGGGCCGTAGCAGCATCGCTGGAAGGGCGCATGCCAACCCCCTCAAATCCGCTGGGTCCCGATCCGCCCGAAGGGCCCTGGGCGCGCGCGCGCCTGTCGTTGCCCACGCGAGGGAAACGATGCCGCGAACGGCAGCTGAGCCATGGCGAAGCGGCGACTGGAGGGGGAGGAGTAGAGGGGGAGTGGAGAAAGAGAGGGTCCACCGACTCCGACTCCTCCGTCCTGGACGCCGTTATCTTCGCGCCGGTGGCCTCTCCGCCTGTTGCCAGGCGGGCGGTGTTCCGAGAGGCGGCGGCGACACTCGTGGCGCGAGCAATAGACCGTTCGGCGGCGGGCGGGCTCGACCCTTGAGTGGCGCCGGCAACGGGCGTAGCGCGAGCACTCTTCTTCCGGGCCGATGGCGCGGCCTCCTCGTGATGCGAGGGAACTCCACCTCCTACTCCTCTCCTCAGATGGGCGTCCGCTCCGGGGTCCAAGGGGAAGAGGCAAGAGGAAGGAGGGGAGTTTTGTAGCGGCGAAAGGGAGGCAGGCGCCATCGGATGCCGAGCCTGCGGGACGGGGCTCAGAAGCCAGCGTCACACGAGCAGCAGCTGCGGCAGGCGCGGGAGGAACCCGCGAGCAGGTCAGACGCCTGCCTGGACGGCCTGGCTGGGGCCACGCCCAGATGACACGGGCGCGCACTGCCAGGGGGGCAGCGGCGCCCGAGCGGAGAGTGTGCACACTCGCCGCTGCCGGGTGCCCACAGGAGGCAGCCGGCCCACCCCCACCCGAGCTCTGACTGGCGGGGTGAAAGAGCGACCCCGAACCAGCCAGATCACGGAGGAAGCGTTGGGACCCCTGCCTGCGGCAGTGGCCCAAAGCAGCTCGTAGCCCAGCAAGTAGAACACCGCCGCGTAGGTGAAGAGGAACCTGCGCGGCGGTGGCAACCGCAAGCCCCCTGGCGCCCTGGCCGCGCGCGCGCGCGGCGGGGGGAGCGGGGGGCGAGAAGAGCAAGCTTGGGGCCGAGAAGCTGCAGGACCTGAACGGGCGCGAGCGGCAAGGAGAATAGAGAAGCGCAGGATGAGGAGAGAAGAAGTGGAAGAAGGTCAGGGGGTGGTGCGCGGCACTTCGAATTCAAAACGAGGGCCCAAACACACGGAAAGGTTTGGAATTATACTCTGTCAAGAGACGGCAAAAGGCTGAAATCGCACAGGCGTGTCCGCTTTCCCCATACTTCTTCATACCAGTCCAGACTGTCATGCTGCACGACGCAATCGATTCGCTTCACCTGGACGGGGAGCCCGAATACGTGGTCACCCAGTATGTCCTTTATGCCGATACACGCTCCGAGTATCTCAACACGATGCCCAACCTCCAGAACATGTTGAACGCCATCTTTTAGGAGAGGCGCAACTATGGTTTGGAGCTTACTTGGGTAAACAATACAAATGCAAATCTCTACGTGTCAAAAGGTTACGACACTAAAGGGTGGTGATATTCAGACTGTCCGGGACGCTGTATATTTGGGAGGCTCGCTTACGTGTGACGGGAAAGCGGCTGCGGAGCTATGCAGACGACTGGGAGAAGCAAGCAAACTTGTCAAGCAACTTAGCATGCTTTGGGCGCACGATCTTTTAGCTGGAGACGACAACATAAGATCTGCGACAGCGCAGTTCTGAGCAAGCCGTTCTGTCATTTGAATTCTTTGTGGTGTTGAAAGCAGCCAAATGCCCGCTCGATGCCTTCCATTGCCGATCTTTGCGACGCATTCTTGGGATTCCACATTATCGCAGATCACGGGTCAGCAACGCAAGCGTCCTCGACCAGGCTGGGACGAAACCGCTATCTTGTTGGCTGGTAGACGAAGTATGTTGCACGAGAAAGCTGTTGCACATGGGCCTACTGCTTTGGTACATCGAACTGTGCGAAATGGCGATGATTCGCCGAAGAATTGGGCTCGCAATTGCATGTGCGGGCGACTGAGACATTCGGTTTGCAATTTCCGGCAGCATGTTTGAACAGGTGAGCAGATCTTTCATCGTCGTCTTCATCAACCGCCGTCATCCTCAAGCTCGGCGGTTGGTCACACCTCCATGCTTCATGTGGCGGTTGGTTACACCTGTGCTTCGAGCGCTTCGAGTGGCGTTTGATCACACCTCTTTTCCTGCCAACGCGTCCACCTGGACGCAAGGCCTCTGTCGGTCTGTCTGCCCTCCCGAGGCCAGATTCTCTTGAAAGTACACCGGATTCAGCCTCTCGAGGTGGGAATCGCTTGTAAATTGCACTAGTTTCGAGCTGCCGAGGCCACAATCCCAGGTACATTATTGCAGATTGGCGCTCCCAATGCCAGAATCCGATTTAGATTACACCAGGTTCGCGCTCCCGAAACCAGAAACCCTCGCACATCCTGGTGGACTCGCGCCCCCGTGCCCCTGAAACAAGATGGGCGCTCACGAGGGCAAAGTCCTTTGGAACTTTCGCCAGGTTCGCAGGCTCGAGGCCAGAATCCGAATCCTTTGCAAATTAAGCCAGATTCGCGCTCGCGAGGGCACGATCCATTGAAATTGCACCAACATCGTGCTCCAGATGCCACCACCCCTATCTAGTAAATTAGGCCAGGCTCGCGTAAATTAATTAGGACACACAGCGTTCAACAACAACTCGACCATCTCGAGGTGATTGCTGAACGCCAATCGCCCTCGCATGATGATCCCAGAACTTGGAACAACAGCGCCGACACGTCTCACATAGCTCTGACACCTCTCGTTATGATGAAGAGGGGGCTGGCGGCAGAGGGTACCGATACACAAACTGCAATGGCGTCCTAGGCACCTTTGTTTCGAAAAAGTCCCCCCTGATGGCGAGCTAACTCGCGACTCCAGCTTTGGGGAGTGAAGTATTGCCTGGCGGGGCGGCCTGAAACATGGGGCCTGGTCTGGAAGTCTACGTGTGCTGCCGCAACAAAGATCTCACCAGAGACTGCACCGCGCATAAGCACGCCAGGAACGCCAACTGGCGGCGACGAACCAGACCCTGGCACTCGCCACTCTTACGCCGTTGGCATAGCAAGGCACGCGGGAACCCGCGCTCCACGCCCGCCCGCGGGTGGTATCCTCGGGGCGCGTGCTGGGCATGGCGCGCGCCGCCAGCAGCTCCCCGCAGAGCTCCTGCCGGGATGGGCGGGTGGCGCCCCGCCGGCTGCCCTCGCCGCACAGGCTTGCCCGGCCGCGCGTCCGCGGGATGCCCCGCAGGACCATCGGCCCAGACCCCGTCGCCTCGTTGCGCAAATCGTGACGCATGGCCTCTTGCAGAAACGCTCGGCCTCATGGAGGCCCTCGCCGGGCCCAGGGGCCATCGCAAAGAACTGTTCGGGATGAGGGGCGTTTTTGGCTGCCCATGGGCCACATGCCCTGGGCCGCCCGTGGCCACCCCAGTCCGGGCTGCCTTTTCTGGGGCTGGTCCTGGCCGCCACACGAGCGAGACCACCCCGGGCTACGGCACAGCGCAGACCACGGGGGCAGGCCCAACAACAACAAAAACTGATCGCCACCTGGCATGGACCACAGACGACAGACCCCAGAAAATTCTAAAGAGGATGGCGAAGTGCTAATTGCTCGGAATGGCCTCCACCCCAGCCTTCCGCCGTCCTTTTTGGGAATCGGATCCTCGCTGTCTCTCCGTCGGACCGAACGTCCGTCTCCTGTCCTCCCCCCCCGCTCCCTGTTTGCCCCTTTTTGTCCCACTGCTCCATTGAAGGTTCGGATCCCTTCTCATCCTGCAACGACCTCAACGAAACCTGGGAACCCCCTCATCCCCTGCCGTTCTGCGCGGAAGGGAAATAGGGCTCGGGCAGCCCGGTGCCGGGCCAATCGAGCCCCGCAGGGGCCCCGCCGCCGCCGCCCGAAACTCCCCAAAAGGCGGGCGGAGTGACGCCTCCACCGGTTTTTGCCGCCCGATCCTTCCCCCATGCCCCCATGCGCCCCGTGGCGCTACGCATCTCCTCCCGCCCGCCTCGTGCCATGGGGCGACGGCGGCGGCAAAAAGGGCGCTCAAGAATTCCGGTTCGCGGCGGCGGATTGGCACTGCTTTCGTGTCTTGGTCAAGTTCACCTAGGCTCTCGCCGAAATCACGAATGATGGCATACTCGGGGTACGGATCAACTGTGTGCCGCGCGATGTGGGCGATGCGGGCCTGTTGCAACGCGCGTTCCCGGGTGGCGCGCCTCTGCTTGACCAGGCTGTGGCAGGCCATGCCGACGGCAGCGCGCCATGGGCCCCTGGCGCCCCCTCCCCCCATGGCGTGGCCGTTCGTGCACAACTCTTGCGATTGCTTAACTACTTCGCTGGGATGTCGTCTGGTCTGTGTGCGCAACGGCCATGGAGACAGCAGCAAAAAAAACGGGACGGGCGAAGGAGACACAGGGAAACAAGATATGGACGGTGTGAACACGACAAAAATTCAACCAGCACGCAAATTCGGCCCAGGTTAGTTTCGCGAAGTATGGGCATGCTCGATATGGCATGCGCGATTGCCCTCATCCTGGAGAGACGGGATGTTCCCAGGCACATGAATCACTCGCGCCACGCCTGATGGGACATGCGGCTGTATATGTCGCAAGGTGCGTGCGCGGAGGAGGAAAAGAGAGGCAAGCAACAAAACAAAACTCAAACATTTGACGCCCGCGTCGCCTTGGCCCGAACGCGAGATAGAGAGACGGGTGCTCCGACAAAAACCAAGAGACAAAGACGTCCATGGCATTCCCCAGGTACTCACAGCACGGCAACTCCAAAACCAAAAATGTATCGAACATGCTGGGTAACCATCCACCCATCGGTGCAGAGCTCCCCTTGGAGAAGACGGCTCGCATGCTGACCCCGACAACGAAGGGGGGAGGACGGAAGGACTGGGGTCAGAAACAACAAGCAAATCAACATTCCAGATGCGGGGGCACATCTGGACACAAGAACCTAGGATGGCATCAGGGCCAACAAACAGGAAGGGTCTCCAAATCCCAAATTCAAGCTAACGTGAAAAGGTCTTTCTGGCACAGCGGGCGCGCGCAACCCCAATGCATACTGACGCGAATGGATTGACGAATTCGTGGGTGATCCATGAAATAGCTGTCAGGGTATCATTATCACCGCCGCGCGTGCTCCAAGAATCGTGAACAAAAAAACGTCAGTCCACTGGGAGATAACACTATTGACATGCTGGGCATGCGCGGGGCCCGGCGTCGCAGGGAGCAAATGTTGCTGCCGTTCGCGATGAGTCTTCAGTCTCCACCAATACTGGGCGGCAGCCGGGCTGCCGCGAAATGCTGCCCCAACTGGCCGACTCCGAAGAGAACCTTGCTCTCCGCGTCGGGGCCCGCGCCCGTAATGTGGACCGGCGGCGCGAGAAATCCACCCAGCGCGACCGCGCTGATCCATTTCGCGATCACTCGATCCGAGGGGAGCGGCGGCCCCAGGGGGCGGCGTGCTCATGCCCAGGTGCGGGCGGCACGCAATGTCCACCCCGCAGGAGAGGCCTCCCCGCTCCGCGCGCGTGGCCTCCGCGAGCGAGACCTTCCACCCTTCGCAGCGGCAGGCCTGCGCGACCTCCGCCCGCTGGCCAGGGGCATCGCCCGTGTCTTGCAAGAGCAGCAGCCTCCAGGCACCTTCCAGGCGGCTTTCGGAGCCCCGAAGCCGCTGCGGCTTAGCCGCAAGCTCCCCTTCGCGAATGGCCCGTGCCGCGCGCGCCTGCCTCCGCCGCTTCGGCCGCCCCCGCCCCCGCAGCGCCCCACCCGAGGGGCAGCTTGGCGCGCTTGTTCAAGGGGCAGCCTTTGCCCTCGAGGAAGATCTCGAGCTCTCGCGGGGGACCGCCCTCGTCTGGAGCGCCAGCAAAAACACCGGCAGGAGCCTCAGGAGGCCGGAGGCAGACGCCTCCGCAGCTGCCTTCTCGGCGGCGCCCATCTTGGCCTGAGTGGCGGCTGCCAGGCGGCTCAAGAACTCAACGATCTGGGCGAGCTGCGCCTCCCAGCCGTCGGGGCGCCCGTTGAATTCCGCCGCGCGCTTCGCCCCCAGCGCAATTGGCCGCGATCGGGCGTCTGCCGCGCAGGCTTAGGCGGGGCGAACAGGGCCATCCAGAAGGTGGGCCGTCGAAAGGGTGCATGGAACGGCTTTCGGGGAGGCGTTCCAAGATTTCTGGAACGCCTTTCCGCCCAGCGTTCGGAGCAGTTCGGTCGCCTCGGCCCACGGCCCGCTACCGCGTCGACATGGAGACACCTCGAAGCGGGATCAGGCCGCACGAGTGAAGCCAAATTGTCTGCGAGGGGCAGCCTTGGAATTGCTGTTCTGCCACCCTCTCTCCTTCTCGTCCTAGGTGTGCCCGTCGACCGCCGCGCCCTTTCTGTGGCGCCGAAGTGGCCACTTCGCCTGGTCTGCCCCGTGCACGCTCCCGTGCTGGCCCTCCCCCTGCCTCCGCCCACCGCGCAGCCCCTTGCCCCCTCCGCCGCCACCTCCCCTTTTCTCCCTTCACTCCCCTTTTCGCCCCGCGTCGTCGTCGTCGTCGTCGTCGTCGTCGTCGTCGCCCCGCGTCCCACACCAGTGTCGTTCAGCGCCTCACTGATGCTAGCCCGCTACTTACATCTGCCAACCGCGCCCATTTTCTCTCGCACTCTGCCTCCCTCATCCCTCCCCCCCCCCTCCCCCTCCCTTCCCCCAGCTCCCCTGTCCTATTTCGCCTTCCCCCGTCCCCTTCCCCTTCCCTCCCTCCATTTGCCCCTTTCTTCCAACCTCGTGCTCTCCCGCTCCCACCCCTCCCCATTCCCTCCGCCGCCAGCCCTTCCCGAACGCTGTTCCGGGAAGGCGCGCAGCCCTTCCCGAACGCTGTTCCGCGGAGGCCGAATGCAGGCCCCAAGTGGGCCATCCGTCCGGCTGATGCTCCGAGGCCCCAAGTGGGCCATCCACCCGGCTCCTGGAGGCCGCCCCCCCCGAGGCCCCAAGTGGGCCATCCATCCGGCTCATGCACGCCCCCGACCCTCGCACGCCCTGCGCGCAACCCCCTCGCCGCCCCCAGGCCCCAAGTGGGCCATCCACCCGGCTCATGGAACATCACACCGGGGCACCCAGTACCCCTGCACTGGTCCAGGGCCCCAAGTGGGCCATCCGTCCGGCTGATGCTCCGAGGCCCCAAGTGGGCCATCCACCCGGCTCATGGAACCCCTTCCCAGAGCTCCCTCGGAAAGGCGTTCCGCGCCTCGGGGGAAGGGTACTCGCGCGCCTGGCCGCCTTGGCTCCCGCGACCCAGGGCGCCCTTGCACCGATCCCAAACCACCCCGCCTCTCCCTCCCCTTCTCCTGCTCCCATGCCTCCCTCCATCCCTCCCTCCCGCCAGCATTCCTGCCCTCTCGCCCCGCACCTCGTCGTCCCTTTTCTCCCTTTTCGCCCCGCGTCGTCGTCGTCCTCCTCCTCCTCCTCCTCCTCCTCCTCACATGTCCTCATCCTTCCGCCCCCCCTCCTTCCTCCTCCATCATCCTCCGCAATCCTGCTCCCGCCCTCCTCCCTCATCGTCCTCCATGCTCATCCTTATGAACCTCCTTTTCCTCCTCCTCCCTCATTCATCCCATTATCACCTCTCCCTCCTCCTCCTTCTCCTCCTTCTCCTCCTCCTCCCCTCCTCCTCCCCCTTTTTTTGACAACCCAACGTCGAGGCGAGTGCACCGCGTCTAGAAGGGCAGCAGTACAGGTGTGGAGGACACTGAGAAAACATGAAGGGAGAAGAGATCGAAAGCCAGTGGGACCATTAAATACGCAAGAGAAGTGGAGACAGTCGAGAGGGCCCAGGGCTGTCTAGCTGGCAGGAGCTGATTCCAGCAAAGATGGTTGAGGGACGAGGTGAAAGTGGACGGCCGAGCCATCCGCAATCCCAGCTGTGATTTCTCGCACCACCGCGCTTCCATCCACCCGATGAACGGCCCACTTGTTCATCCACCCCCTGGATGGCCCAGTTCGCCCCCTCCAACAGGCGCCGCCGGTTGAATCCCAGCCTGCTCCACCTGCCGCGCCTGCTCGAGAGCCAGGTTGGCCTGGTCGCAGGCAGCCTGCAGCGCGCTCTGGTGCTCGGTGGCTGCCTGCCCTGCCTCCTCCGCGTCGGCGATGACACCCTTCGCCGCCTCCAAGGGAGCCTGGGCCTTCTCCAATTTCGTCTTCGCGTTGGTGGCCTTCCACACGGCCGACTGCACCGCAGCCTGGTGCGCAATTTGACCTTTGACCTTGGCTCAGGACTCGGACTCGGGCGGCGGCTGGACAAGCCCCACTGTGTGCTTGGCGGCGTCACCCATGTCCACGCCCTTGGACTCATGCCGTGCCACGGCCTCCACGACCCGCTTGGTATCAGCACCGTCGTCGACCGCCGACGTCGCGAACCGGACTGTCCTCGGCTTGCGTCCGCCGTGCACCGTCCTCGCCGTCGCCTTCATCATCGATGACCTCGACGTCCTGGGCTTTGGCCTTGGCCTTGGCCTTGGCCTTGGCTTTGGCCTTCGGCGCAAGCGCCGCGGGGCCCGCCGCGTTCCCCACTGCCCGCTGTCCAGTGAGCAAGGGAACTCCCTTGCCGCACGCCGTGCACGAGAGGCGGGTCGCCAAGTTCTTCCTCTCGCCACACGAGCAGCCCTAGAGACGGGTTCCTGGGCCCTGGAAACAACACGCGAGGAGTTTTGTGCCATGGAGCCGCGCTCCCACCTCCTCCTGGCCCAATCTGGCCATTCCCCGGGCGGCGAGACCCCATGGCAGAGCCGTCTGTATGAAAGATTGGCCCCCATGCTCCGGCCGCTCTGAAGTACGAGCACGGGAACTCTCAAGCCCCTTCGTCCACAGACTTGAGAGCCAGAACAGCTCTCTTCCTCCATTCCTTCTCCTCGTAAATAACTTCTTCTGATCGCACCCCGAGGCCAGTTTTTAGGGCGGGCCGGGCGTTTCGCCTGACTTTTCTCACCACTTATGACCCTGAAACTTAAACATCGGCAACAATTGCACAGATGGAGGGCGGATGGTTTTCAACATGTGGTTCTCGCCTCAACGCCGCACACGTCCTTTTTACAAATTTGAAAAGAGCTTCACGGAGTGAGGGCGGGTGGTTTTCAAACTGTGGCTCTCTCCATGGCGCCGCGCACATCCGCTATTACAAAACTGCTAGAGCTTCACGGATTGAGGGCGGGTCGTTTTCAACATGTAGCTCTCGCCTCAGCGCCGCGCGCATTCGGTTCAAAAAGTGGTTAAGAGTTTCGCGGATTGAGGGCGGTTCCTTTTTCAAAATGTGGCTCTCGCCGTTGCGCCGCGCACAGTCGTTGCTAAAACTTGCAAGGGTTTCACGGACTGAGGGCGGCTCCTTTTCCACGTGCGGCTTTCGCCTTAGCGCCGCGCACATTCGTTTCTAATTGTTGTAAGGGTCGCGCGGGTTCCCATCATCAATCAACGAACCAGAAATTGTGCTCTGGAAGGATTCAGGGTTGAGGGTGCAACAATTACGCTGATTCGCGGTGTTGAAGCCCCAGGAATAGTCCCAAGACGCAACAATCAAGTTGATCCGTGGCGTTGGAATCCGACAGCACTGTTTTGGCATGCTCCAGGGACTTCAAAAGGTTGTCTTCCAACGATGCAGCCCCCTCAATGGAAATGACCGTTGTAAGGGGCCTATGAAGAGGGCGCTTAAAGGGAGGGTTGATTTCAACATCGTTGATGAGTTTTGGGTTTCCACTGGTCTTCCTCCTCCTCCTCCTCCTCCTCCTCCTTCTCCAACACCTCATCCTCTGTCGCATCCTCCTCCTTCTCCTGCTCCCTCTCATGCTCCTGCCTCGTCGATCCTCACTGTGCTGCCTCCTCCTCCTCCTCCTCCTCCTACTCCTCGTCTTCCTTCTCCTCCTTCTCCTCCTCCTCAACCTCCTGCTCCATCTCCTCTTCCTCACTTCTCGGTCCCTTCCCCGTCCTCCCCTCTTGCCCCCCCCGCCCTCCTTCTCCTCCCCTCGCCCGTTCTGCCCCTCCCCCTCCTCGTCCTCTTCATCTCACACTCTTCGTGGCCCACGTGAGCGTCGAAGGGGCGCGATCGCCCGCGCTACCCCCACCCCAGTTCTTCGCAGGGGCTCCTTCTTGCATAGCCAAGCCCTATAATGAGGATGTGCAGTAAGCATGCGAGGGCCTTGGAGGGTCATCTTGGATGTTAAGAACGGGGTAGGCCAGTAAACGTCGCAAAGGATCGGCCGAAGAGGAAAGTATGCAAGGGCAGCCTGGGAAATTTGCAAGTCCTTACTGTGCGACTTGCCTGTTCACGTCTCGTGTCCCTCAGGAAGTTCCTCTTGCGTTCCGTTGTGCGGGCAGTATCGCATGCGCAACTCACAAGGGGTGAGATGTCCCTCTGGAGGGCGTTGAACATACGGGATGCTACACGTGCCCGCGGATGATACCCCGTACGGAAGCATCGGTATACATACACATCTGTATACATATATATATATATATATATATATCACGAGGGCGGTGTACATACGCATCCTCACCCGCACACCCCTCGCACGTCTCATGTCCCAGTGGGAGCCCACGCTATGGCCTCCGTGTGCGATCAAGCCTCGACCCCGCATCCATCTCTTTCCCACTCCAACCTCCAACCTGCCGCCCTCACCCGCCCTCCATAAACGAGGAATGAGGGGAGGACGCGGGAAGAGGTCGGGGAGACCCCCCGAGGCCTTTGGAGAAAAGCTTCGATCCTCAGTCCATCTCCTCCCCCATCCGTCCCTCCCCCTCACCTTCCCTCCTGCACACGGAGAGTGAGCCCTCGTCGTTCTCGGAAGGGGGGGTGAGGGGGAGGGATGGGCGAGGATGATGGGGGAATGAAGAGGATGAAAGGTGGAGCCTATTGTGTCAGTTTGCCACTGGAGGCCTCTGGTGACCTCCCCCGCCTGGTCCCTCCCATCTCGGCATGCAGAAGCTGTGCACGCGTCTTGGACCCTGGAGATGGCCCCTGGGCACTGGGGCCAAGTCTTCATCCCGAGCTGCGTGGTTTTGATTGCCCCAGTCCCTCGAGGGACCCCCGAAAGCTCGAGAACAGCGAAGAACCTCCAATGCCACTTTTCTCTCAGGACTCAGGGCCAAGCCAAGGAAGAACCAGCACGGGGGGGGAACGAGCTTGAATCGGCGATACACAGCCGATCAATCGGGCACCCAATAGCGAGTCCGCACGATCCTGGGCGGGGTGGGCTATCGAGCCCATTGTCAGCAATCAATAGGCGATTGAGGGCCAATGCTTTCCCCCCTAAGCCTGGTTCCCCCCAACCGTCGCCCCTGACGGACCCCTTTCCTGCATTACGACCCCCCTCGTCAGGAGCGAAGAAGATGTCCACAACCGCTGGGCTGGCCCCGACCCACCAGCGGTGATGAGTTGGGCGCGGCCCTCGACATCGGGCGCCGCGCGCAGGTCATCACCGCTGGATGTTTGGGGCTGGCCTTGGGGAGGGCGCCAGGGGCGGCTACCTCAGCCCAGCGGTTGTGGTTGCCTCCTCTGCCCCCACGCCCTCCGGCGGGAGCTGACATGTCCCGGAAGCCCTCGCGGGCGGCGGCCATCAGCGGCGTGGCGCCGCGCTCGTCGGCGAGCTCTGGGTCGGCCCTTGCCTGGCCGGCCAGGCCATGGCGGGCAGGGCTGGACTGGAGCCGCACAACGAAGGGGAGGGGGATTGGGGGATCCTTCCCCTCCCCCTCATGTCCCCCTCCTCCCATTCTCCACCACCTTTTCCTTGTCACATTTCCTCCTCCTCCTCCTCCTCCTCCTCCTCCTCCTCCTCGTCATCATCACTGCTCTTCCTCCTCCTCCTCCTCACTTCTCGGTCCCTTCCCCTTCCTCCCCTCCTGCCCCCCCCGCCCTCCAGGAAGCGGGTCGAACGGCCGGAGCAGGCTGGAACTGCGGGCTTGAGGGCCACGCCTTACGCCTGCCCGACAACAGAGGATGATCGAGGGTCTTGGATTTCGCCCCTTCGGGTGAGGGGCAGCGATGGGAGGGGACCAGCCCAGGAAGGGGTGGTAAACGACACATCGACCTGGACCCCGTTCCTGGACGGGGTGTGCTACCGGGCCTATTTTTACGAGTGGGCGATCGGGGGTCGACGCATCCCGCCTTGAGCAGATCCCCCTAACGTCGCCCCTGATCGGGGCTGCAAGATGCCTCTCGTCGCCACGGCGGGGCTACCCTCGAAATCCTGGTCAGGACGGAGGGGCGAGGGAGGAACACGAGGAGTCTTCTTCCTCTGCGTGGAGCTGCGGATTGGCAAACGTGTCCTCAGAACTCGTCGCCCGTGCCGCCGGCGCTGCTGACATCGCCGCCTCCCGCGACGCCCGCATCCTTGCCATCGCCTTCGACACCTAACGAGCTCGCCGCTTCCGGCTCTCGAGGACCCGCAGTTTCGTGGCGTCCGCGGACTCCTCATCGGCCACGTCTGGGTAGTGCTCAGAGATAGGCCTCCAGTTCCTCCATGAACTTCTGCAGGAGCTGGCGCGCGTCTGGGATGACGGTGTGCGTGTCGTGCGGGACCTCTATCTGTTTTTTCACGTCGGCGTCGTCTGCGCCCCCCCCGCCTTCCCAGTGCCAATTTTGGCACGTTGAACAAACTTCTTTTTCAAGTACATGTCAGATTCCTCTCTCGTCCGCTTGACAGGGCCAACCTTGACATTGAGCTCCTTGGCGTTCGGATCTGCCGACATCCCACCGACACCCTTGAACAGCGCGCTCCAGCCAAAAATGGCTCCGGAGGAGGAAGAAAGGAGGAAGAGGAGGACGAAGAAGAGAAGGAAAACGAGGAAGCGAGGAGGAAGTGAGGACAAATGTCGAGGAGGATGAGGAGGAGCAAGAGGAGGAGCAAGCCGACGCGGTCAGAGGGTGGCAGGGGGGACGGTTCCTCTGTCACGGCCGCCGCGCTCAAGGCCCTCGGGGCCTTGTCCACTAATGGCGCGTGGGCGAGGCCGCGGAGGGCGGGGGGCGGCAGGCTCATCTTAGCAAAGATGATACAACGAACCAGGGCAAACGGCAATGTAAAGCATTGCGAACGCACCGTGTCAGACATATACAAGCGACCAAGCTGCATACGCCAATGCACAAATGGGAGATACGGACAAATTTCAGTGCGTCAAGTTCAGGAGTGATCAATTGCCCTGGCGGGCGCGTAAGGACGAAACAACTGCCCTCTTCTTTGACAAATCTCCGCCAAGATGGCCCCAAGAGGCCCCCAGGAGGCCCCAAGAGGTCCCAAGATGGCCCCAAGATGGCCCCAAGAGGCCCCTAAGAGGCCGCCAGGAGGCCCCCAAGAGAACCCAAGCGGCCCCAAGAGGCCCCCCCGAGGCACCCAAGACGCTCAAGAGACCCCCGGGACCGCCAAGAGACCCCAAAGACGTCCCAAGAGGCCACCAAGAAACGCCCAAGAGATACCACAAGACGCTCCGAGAGGCATCCAAGAGACCTCTGGCCCTTCAGCTTGCCCCCCTCCTCCTGCTCCTCCTTCCTCCTCCTACTCCTTATATTCCTCCTCTTCCTCCTCCTCCTCCGCCTCATCATCACCATCGTCATCTTATTCGTCCTCCTTCTCCCCACTCCCTCGTCCATCCATCCAGCCTCCTCCTTCTCCTCCTCCCTTCTTCGCACGGTTCGGCCGTCCCCCTCTTTGCTCCCGCACTTCCCTGATCACCCTAACTCGCCTGGACATCGTTTCTGGATGAGCTGGTGAGGATACTTGCTGGTACGCAGGCGCACGATGCAAATCGGACGCAGGGCAAGCAGGGGCAGGCTGGTGGGGATATTTTTTTGGTCGCGGCCGCGCAGCAGAGGGCAGGCGGCGAGAGGGGGTCCGGGGCACAGGCCAGCCGAACTGGTGGGGATACTTTTTGGTTGCGACCGCGCAGCAGAGGGCAGGCGGCGAAAGGGGGTCCGGGGCACGGGCCAGCGTAATCAGCTACTGGGCGCAACGCGAGTCGGCCGGGCCAACACTCAGAAGCGGCAGCTGGGGAGCAGCAGCGGCAAGGGGCTGACTGGCTGATTTGCAACGCCCAGGGAAGCTGATGCATTGAGCAAACCTGTGGCAAAGTGCCAAAGGATTACGAAGTGCACGCCGAGGTGCCAGTCCACCACGGTGTAGGTGCCATGCCGCGCACTGAGAACCCACTGCAAGCACGATCCGCACAAACACTGTAGCAAATGGGGGCCAGGTACAAACTGACCATGTCGCCAGAGGGCGCCAAGGGCCAGGGCCGCGGCATAGACCTGCCTGGTTGGACTGGTGGGGATATTTGTTTTGGTCTGCGGCCGCGCGACAACGGTCTGGCGGCGAGAGGCAATGTCCGGGGCGGGCGGCACAAAGCGAATTGGCGACCCCAACCGCCACGTTGGCAGGCCGGATCGCACCTGCACAACAAGCGTGCAGATGCACATGCACTGAACAAAGTGCTCTGCATTCGCCAGCAGACGCACCTAGGCGCCGCCCAGTATACCAAAGTGTACAAGCGGCCGCGGGTGCGAGTGCAACGGAGTGAGTCGCCCGTGCGGCGCCAAACTCCAAGCAGCCAGCCCAGCTAACTAAGAAGCACGAACCCGGGAGACAGGCTGCCGGCGGTGGAAAACAAGAGGCAAAAGACGCGGAAGGCTGAACCACTCAGCGCGCAGCCCTCGAACTCCACCGCTGAGTTGAGGGGGCCTCATCATTCTCCTAGTTGCGTTCCTTCTTCATCCTCTCTTCCCCTCCTACCTTGAACTCGCATCCTCCTCCTCCTCCTCCTCCTCCTCCTCCTCCTCCTCCTCCTCCTCCTCCTCCTCCTCCCCTCATCTGCTCCTCCCTTCCCCTCCTACCTCCTGCCCCCCTCTCTCTCCCCCCCTCTTTCTGGGCGAGGGAGGAAGCTATCGAAACGCCTCGAGGAGGGCCCTGCACAGCGAGATGCCGCCCCCGGCGGCAGCGATAGACAGCGCGGTGACGCCCGCGGCGGCGCCCGGGGCGTCGCCTGGGCGACGGGGCTGTTGAGCATCGTTTAACCGATCCCTACCCCCACTGGTGTGGCCTGGGCCCACCTGGCCGATGTACCCCCTAGATGGAGATACAGGCTGTCCCTTGGGGCTAGGGGGATGGGGATAGGGGTCGATCAAAACGACACCGCGCTGTGGCGCGGGCTACCGCTCAAAGGTCTGCTCGCCAACGCAAAGCCGCACATCACAGGAGTGCAGAGAGCAGTACAGTCAAGGCGCATCATCAGGATGCACGGTAAGGATGCAAAAGCCTTGGAAGGACATGCCGACACATTTCAAGAGGGGCGCGGCCAGCTAAAGTTGCCAAGGATGGGCCGAAGGCGCAAAGATGAAAGAACATCCTTGGAAAATGACTCACCCTTACTATGCGACATGACTGAGCCACTGGGCGACACGCTCGCGCAAAACATCGCCGCACATCACAGGAGGGCAGTCTGCAGTAGGAGGGCGCCGGCACGACTGAAGGAGGAAAGCGCTGCATGAACACAACTTCTGGAGCTCCGCGCCGATTTCTCAGATCGGCGCTGGACCCTCCTCAGGGGGGGGGCGCCAGAAGCGCCACCAGAGGGGCCCCAGCGCGGATCCAAGAAATTCGCACGGAGCTCCGAAAGGTTGTGTTCCGTTGCTGCAGATGCTCCTCGTCGGTAAACTAACACCGGTAACGATCCTGGCAGGGCCCACCCTGGGCCCAGGAATCGGCGTGCTCCCCGCACGCCTTCCTGGCCTGGCCACGACGGCCTACCACACCGATCCCGAGCTGAAGATCGGCCTGGCCAGGATTCGTGTAAGTGTACAATTTGCGCTCTCTGGTGCGAGGTAAGGACGCAAGGCCCCTTTAGCGTTCAAGTTTCGACATGTTTAAGGGGCAGGCCACAAAACCCCCCCAACTTTCGGGGCGCACGTGGTTTAGATCAACCATTATTCCAAGTCCCTGTTTTCGTCTCTGGGAGGGGGTTGCCCCATGCCCCCCCCCCCCATGTCGTAAGACTTCCCCCCTCGCCTAAGCAAACATAAACGAACGAACAGGGAAGGGCACTAGGGCACTAGGACCAGCAAGTGGCTGCCGTGCTGGCTGCCATGTTGCTGTCATTCTGGGTTGCTCAGCCGTTCGAGAAGCCAGTTGACCAGTTCATGCAAATCCGCTGGAAATATGCCCCCAGGCCTCTCCCAGGGTCGAAACTGACCCGTTGCCCGAGGCATATCCAACAGTGGCGACGAGGGCTTTCAGGATGCCCAAGACACTTGCAAAACGCCATGGAGCGCCGCCGACGTCTTGACTGGCCCTCATTCAATGATATCATTCGCTGGTCCGCTGTGCGATACTGGTAAGGATCCTGAGTTCGAGAGGGGTGGAGTTGGCTCGCGGTGAAGCTGCCTATGGAGTTGTTCATCAATCGGCCACCGAACTGTCTAATGCGGCTCGGAGATTATGAAGCCGTCATATCTGGATGCAGTCATGTTGCCTGAGGTGCCGATCCATCGACACATGGCTTGGGCGATAACAACGGGGGGCCAGTTTCGTCAATCGATGATCGACTTCATCCCCATCCTGACTCCCCCTCCTCCACGTTCTCCTTCTGACGCTCCCTCCAACTCCACCTCGCTCCTCTTGCCTCCTCGCCGCGCGCCCTCCTCCTCCTCCTCATCGCCTGAATCACCCCTCCCATGCTCCACATCAAGATCTATATGCGCCCTCATCGAAGTTGATATCCCCCCTCACGCCGCTGGTTCGTCCTCACAAGTCTTCTCCTCCCAACTCATGCTCCCCCAAACACAATATTCGTCAACCTCCTCGGCACCCCCCAGCGATGGTCACCCTCATGCTCTTCCTCGTCATCGTCCCTGGAGTCTTCTGCGCACGCCCCCTATCGACCATTATCGTTCCTCACTCCTCTTGGATCCTCCTCATCCGCCCTCCTCGGTGCGCATCTTCTTTTCCCTTCTTTCGCCACATCCTGAGTGGGGTTCTTGTTGTCGTACATCCAGAGTGGGGTTCTTGCGTTCCTAGAACACCCTCACCTTCTCCTGTTCCTCCTTATCCTTCTCTTCTATACCATATCAATACGTACCAAATCAATACCACACCTGCCTACCATAGCATACCATGCCTACCATACCACACCTACCATACCATACCATACCTATCATACCATACCATACCATACCAAACCTGCTATACCATACCATACTTACCATATCGTGCCATACGATGCCATACATACCATACCAGACCTACCATACCATACCATACCATAGCTACCATACAGTATCATGCCTACCATGCCAACCATGCCAACGCTACCATACCGTACCTACGCCTCCAAGGAGGCCCCGCCAGAGCGAGGACAGTGTCGGGATACCAGGTTAGTTAAAGGTTTCGTGCCCCTCACACCCCTCCAGGAAGGCCCCGCCAGAGCGAGGAGGGCATTCGACAACCATTGTATTTATCAGGTTTCGTGCCAACCCACTCGTCCAGGGATACCCCGCATGATCGAGGAGGGTATTCGAAACCAATGTTATGTATTTATGTATCAGGTTTCGTGCCCCTCGCACTCCTCCACGGATTCCCCGCCTGAGCGAGGAGGGTTTTCGAAAGCCATGTTATGTATCAAGTTTCGTGCCCCTCCCATTCCTCCAGGGAGGCCCCGCCTGAGCGAGGAGGGTATTCGAAACCATGTTATGCATCAGGTTTCGTGCCACTCCCACTCCCCCAGGGAGGCACCGCCTGAGCGAGGAGGGTATTCGACAACCATCAAATGTATCGGGTTTCGTGCCCCTCCCAATCCTCCAGTGAGGCCCCGCCTGAGCGATGAGGGCATTCGAAGACAATAATGTTTATCAAGTTTCGTGCCCCTCGCACTCCTCCAGGGAGGCCCCGCATGAGCGAGGAGAGTATTCGAAAACCATGTTATGTATCAGGGTTCGTGCCCCTCCCATTTCTCCAGGGAGGCCCCGCCTGAGCGAGTAGGGTATTCGAACACGATATGTGTTATCAGGTTTCGTGCCCCTCCCACTCCTTCAGAGAGGCCCCGTCTGATCGAGGATGATATTCGAACGCATTTGTTTTAACAAGGTTCGTGCCCCTCCCAGTCCTCCGGGGAGGTCCCGCCTGAGCGAAGAGGGCATTCGAAAACCAAATAATGTATCAGGTTTCGCGCCCCGCCCCCTCCCACTCCTCCAGGGAGGCCCCGCCTGAGCGAGGGTATTCGAACGCCACCGCATGTATCAGGCGTCGTGCCCCTCCCACTCCTCCAGGGAGGCCCCGCCTGAGCGAGGAGGGTATTCGACAACTATGTCATTTAGAAGGTTTCATGCCCCTCACACCCTTCCAGGGAGGCCCCGCCTGAGCAAGGAGGGCTTTCGACAACCATTGTAGGTATCAGGTGTTGTGCCCCTCCCACTCCCCCAGGGCGGCACCGCCTGAGCGAGGAGGGTATCTGAAAACCATGTTTTCTATCAGGTGTCGCGCCCCTCCTGGGCCCTTCGCGCTCTTCTAGGGAGGCCCCGCCTGAGCGAGGAGGGCATACGAACGCCATCTTATTCATCAGGTTTCGTGTCCCTCCCACTCCTCCAGGAGGGCCCCGCCTGAGCGAGGAGGGCATTCGAACGCAATCATATGTATCAGGTTTCGTGCCCCTCCCACTCCTCCAGGGATGCCCCGCCTGAGCGAGTAGGATGTTCGACAACCATTGTAGGAATCAAGTTTCGCGCCCCTCTCACTCCTCCAGGGAGGACTCGCCTGAGCGAGGAGGGTATTCAAAAGCTACATAATTCATCAGTTTTCAGGCCTCTCCAACTCCTCCAGGGATGCCCCGCCTGAGCGAGCACGATATTCGACAACCATTGTAGGTATCAAGTTTCGCGCCCCTCTCACTCCTCCAGGGAGGCCCCGCCTAAGCGAGGCGGGCATTCGAAAACCACATAATTCATCAGTTTTCGGGCACCTCCCACTCCTTCAGGGAGGCCACGCCTGAGCGAGCACGATATTCGACAACCATTGTAGGTATCAAGTTTCGCACCCCTCTCACTCTTCCAGGGAGGCTCCGCCTGAGCGAGGAGGGCACTCGAACACCATATTTGTTATCAGGTTTTGCGCCCCTTCCGTCTCCTCCACGGAGGCCCCGCCTGAGCGAGGAGTTCATTCAAACACCATGCATGATGTGTCGTGCCCCTCCCACTCCTCCAGGGAGGCCCGCCTGCGCGAGGAGGGCATTCAAAATCGATGCGATTTATCAGGACGCATGCCCCTCACACTCCTCCAGGGTGGCCCTGCCTGAGCGAGGAGGGTATTCGAAAACCATGTTACGCATGAGGTTTCGTGCCCCTCCCACTCCTCCAGGGAGGCCCCGCCTGAGCGAGAAGGGTATTCGAAAACCATCTGATACATCAAATTTCGTGCCCCTCCCACTCCTCCAGGGACGAACGTCCTTCCGCAAGCCCCCCGGAGAGCACAGTCAACAGCATTCGTTCTGACAAAATTAGATAGGAATAAATACGGCGTCGCACTGTCATTCTTTGAAACATGGATGCGAATAGATATAGTTTCTTTCTGAAAAGCAGTACGGTCACAATTAAATAGATACGCTTGGAATGTAGATACGTTTAGATACGGCGGCGCTCCCGTGCAGGCCAGGGGCGCGAATTTTGTGTGTATACCTACACATATATATATATAAATATATATAGTCGCTGCAGAAAAAAAAAGGTACGATGGGCTTGTCGCCTGCACCAGGGGGCGATCGCATCTAAACGCATAACTTATTTTTAGATACGTCTTGCAGGGACTCTTGACGGTCCCGGTCCCTGCCCCGGTCTGGTTCCTTGCCGCAGGGGTCAATTCCCGGCCCCGACCCGGATCCCGACACTCGCCCCGGCTCCCGGACCATGGCCCCAATCCTAGCCCCGGCCCGGGCCCCAGCCCCGGCCTCATAGCCCTGGCCTGGCCCCGGCCCCGGCCCGGGATCTGGCCCTGACCCCGGCCCCCGGTCCTGGTTCCCGGCCTGGCCCCGGCTCCAACCTCGGCCCCGGCTCCGGCCACAGACCTGGCCCCGACCGCACTCCAGCCTGGGTTCCGCCAGTCCCGGCCCTGGCCCCGGCTCCCGATCGCGGCGCTGGCCCCGCCCCTGGCCCCGGCCCCGTTCCCGGACCTGGCCCCATGCATGCCGATCTTCACTACTTAAGATGTGGTAACTCGTGGATTTAGTGGAAGGGTATATACACACGGGCTCTAAGCGGTTGAAGTTGTAGAAGTTGGGTTTGGAATGGTTGGAGTTCGGATTTAGAGTGGCTGAAGTTGTGGAAGATAATTTCAAAAAATTGTAGGGCTCTGTTTTGCGTTATTCCTGGCCCCCCCCATCCAGCGTTGTTGTTTGTTGTTTGTTGTGCTTGTTTTTTGCAGGTTCCCCCCCTCTCCTTCCTGCGCTTTGCGCTGCTCCTTCCCCCATCCAACTCTGGCGCTGTTCCTCCCTCCTCCAACGCTTGCGCTGTTTCTCCTCCCTCCAGCGCTTTGCGTTGCTCCTGCCCCCCCCCAGCGCTTGCGCTGTTCCTCCATCCTCCAACGCTTGCGCTGTTCCCCCCCCCATCCAGCGTTTGCGCTCTCCTGCCGCACTCAACGCGTCACGCTGTCCGCAACCGTTTCCTGGCTCGAATTCGCGGCGCCGAAGAGGCGGCGCCGCTCTCGATCGAGGCCCCATCCTCCTCCCGCTCCTCTTCCTCCTCTCCCCCCCACCCTCTTCCCCACCTTCCCCCTCCCCCTCCTGAGTTTTCGTCGGGAGCGAAATGCGGCGCGGCAGCTCCTCCATCGTGGACACGCGACGCAGCAGGGGCTTGCGAAGGTGCTGAAAGCGTTTCGCGAGCTCGAGGCGGATCTACCAGCTAAGATTAGCGAGAAGGGGACCAATCGAACCAACCATGAACGGTTTCAGTCTGTCCGCCATGAGCTGGCCATACCGCCGGTGAACAGCGAAAGCTGGAACTGGCCCATTCCGGAGCCCAACGGGCCCCTCGCCCTGATGGCCTCGATGAGCCCTCACGGCCGCGTTGTCGCGACGCGGTGCTCCGAGCCATGGGCGCCCATGGGCCCTGGTAATCGGGCACGATGAATTCAGCCCTGGCGGCATGCGCAGCGTCGGCGACGGCAGGAAGAGCATGAACTTATCGCTCACGTCCCTGGAGCTAGAGCACATCATTCGCAGTGACAGCGGGCGGTTCAAGCAGATCCAGGGCGGCTGGGGCGCCATGTTTGTCAAGTACCTGAAGCTGCACTTGCTGGGGCAGTCTGGCCTTGCGACTGCAGGCGCCCCCTATTACTGTCGGCGGCACGGACGCGCTCGTCTTCGCAAGCCTCGAGTTCATGATCGCCGATCTCGATGGCCACCGGATGTCGATGAACAGCAACGGTGCCATCGGCTTGAAGCCGTGCTTGCGGCATTGCAACGTGCTCATGAAAACGCAGGCACGGTTGAGTTGGACCCAGCAAAGTTCGTTGATGTATCTATTGCAGATACGACGCGGTTCTGATAGCACACCAGTGCAGATGTGTTCACTGCTGCTGATCTTGCCAGCGCGGCGCGCGCTCGGTGGACTGCAGGGACAATGACAAGGGCCCGCTTCGATAATCTGCAAATGACGCGCGGGCTCGAGTTCGCGCCCAACGGCGTCCTGCTGGACCCTGAACTGCGCCGCCATGTGGGTTCACCGACTGGGTGCGCACAGCCTTGCAAGATGGCGTTTTCACAAAAGAAATATACTCTTGCTGGTGCAGGCGCGCGGGGGGGGCGCTGGAAATGACATTCAGCGGTGTCCGAGAGCACGTGAAGAATGGGTGGAAGGCGCCTGCATGGGGGAGGGCGAAGCCGAGAGAGTTGCTCGGGATATTCGACGAACGCCGTGCCCCGAAGGAGGACGCGATGAGGGCCTCTGCGCCAGCTCCTTGGCACGTATGCGCTTACCAGACATTTCGTGGAGCTGTACATTCTCGGCGTGGCGGTCGAGCGCTTGCAAAAACAGGCAGCCTCGATCCAGGCTGCGTGCGCGACGTTCGACTTGATTTCCGCGTTGAAGCTGGGGTGCGTGGACATGCGAAGGGGCGGTACAGTTGCGGCGAGCCCACGCCGAGCACCTTCGACTGCGTGCCGAAGCGTGCGGCACAGCGCACATCCTGCCGAAGCACCACAAGATATTTGACGTGGCCGACCAGTGGGAGCGCCGTGCCGCTGTGATAGGTGCTTTTGTGGTCGAGCGGTTGCGCATCAATATAAAGTACGTCATGAGCCCGATCCGCAACACCAGGGACTTTGAAACGTCATGCTTGGCGTCTTTGATCAATGTCCACCTGATGGCCTTGGGGGGGGACGAGTTCAGCGATGCCCTCCTGGGGAAGACGTCGTTTATTCCTGGGACGCGGGTGCCAATATCAGACAAAATGTCTGTCTCTGGCCTTGCCATTGAGGTTTGTGACATCGTTCCGCTCGAAGGATTTGCTGGCAGACTGTGCGATGGCCACACGAGAACTCAAGATGGCCTGAAGCTGTATTCGAGACGGCCCAAGCTATATCCAGGACGACCAGAGATGGGCGCAAGGTGACCCGAGACAGCCCAGGAGGCCCCTAAGGAACCTCCAGGAAAGACCGACGAGATCTCTCCTCGTTGTTTCTCTCTCTCTCTCTCTCTCTCTCTCTCCCCCGCGTGTTCCCCGAGGGATTTCCGCAACGGCTTGGTGAACACATGAATCGATTGATTGGCCGAGCTCTGGCCACAACGTTCGACCACATAGGCGCTTGCGAAAGGCAGGGGGCGACAGTGATTCGCCAAAGGTGTCTTCGATACACTAGAGGAAGAAGCAGCGGCAAAACCGAAACTTTGAGAGGCTTGCGAGGATTCCTTTGATCGGCTCTGGCCCCCTTCCCTGGCACGCGAAAAGCTGCGCTCCAGGGGTGACTCCGAAGGCGCCGCCAAGGGCCCAAATGCCGATCCAAGATATCCGCGCGAAGCTCCAGAAGTCAAAATTATGTTGTGTTTTGTATCTCGGTACACGACACTCAAGCCAAACGGACGCAACAATCCACCTTCGCCGAAGCACTGTGAGGCGGCAATCGGAGGTGGGAAGCGTACCCCAAATTTCCTCTACACCATACAATGGAAGGTGATGTACAAGGAGGGCGTGGCGAGTGCGCTATGCCTGCACACTTCGCAACATCGTTACCGGCGTCCTGTCTAAAGAGGTGTGGTTTACGGCGGACTGCGCTCCGATTCCACGCAGTGATGTCTCTCCCCATTCAACTTCTGCTGGTGCTAGGTAACCGCGCTGTTTGGTGCCTGCCTCCGGGTTTCGGCCTCCTTGGCCTGGCGGGGGGGTGCGAGAAAGTTCACGGTCCCAGAAGGGGGGAGCTCTGCCGTGTTGGAGGACTTCTCATTTCAGAGGCAGCGCTCGGTTCCGATCTTCCGATCGCCCAGGGCCTCTGTGTCTCCTGAAGCATCTTTCCCTCGAAACACTTCTTGGACTGGGCCTCTGCCTTTCGATGGCAGTGTCAGGGTCATCCGTGCCCTGACAAACGTAGGTGTCCGTTTTTGCAATGCGGGACGCTTCTCGGATGTGTACCACGACCGCGACCACGTCCACCACGACCACCACGACGGCCGACCACGACCACGACGACCACTGCGACGGCGACAACGACCACGACAACGACCACCACGACCATGACCACGACCACGTAAGCCACCATGACCGCGACCACGGCCACGACCCTGACCACGACAACGACAACCACGACGACCGCCCAGACCACGACAGCCACGACGACGACCACAGCGACGGCGGCAGCGATGACAACGACGAAGACCACCAGAGAAGTCGGCGGCGGCGGCGCCCCAGAGGGCCCGTCGGGCGCCTCCCGGCGTAGTAGCCCCGGCGGTGCCCCGCGCGTTGACCTCCGCCCGCGCCTCCAGCAATAGCCCGCACAACTCCTGGGCCGGTTGCGCCCCTCGTATCCTCCCTTGTTGACGTTGGGCCGGCTTTGGTACGATGAGCCGTAGTGTCCACCTCGGCTTCTCCCCCTCGTCCTCCTCTTGACCCTCCTCTTCCTGCCACTCGTCGTCTCCTCCTCCTCCCCCGCCTCCTCTTTACACTCTTCCTACTCCTTCTCGTCCCTCTCCTGCTCTGCTCCTCCTCCTCTTCCTCACATCCCTTAATGACTGCCGCCACATCTGAACCCCTCTTCCTTGGAAAATAAATCCTCCTGGTCGCACCCGCAGACGTGTCTCCTGAGACTTTCGCACCCCTTGTGACCCTGAAGCAAGAAATCTGAAACAGTTGCACGGAAGGAGGGGTTGGTGTTTTCCAAAACGCGGCTCTCGCCTTAGCGCCAAGCACGGTCGTCCTAGACTGGTTCAACCGAATTACGGACGGAGCAGGGTGGTGTTCAAGATGTGGCTCTCGCCTTAGCGCCAAGCACGGTCGTCTTAGACTAGTTCAACCGAATTACGGATGGAGCAGGGTGGTGTTCAAGATGTGGCTCTCGCCTTCGCGCCGCGCACATTCGGTTTAAAACTTTGTAACAGATTGACGGATGGAAAGGGGGTCGTTTCGGAAAGATGGTTCCCGCCTTAGCGCTGCGAGTTTCGTCTCAAAAGTTTGCAAGACAACTTCAGTAATGAAAAGCGGCTACTTTCCAAAATGTGGCTCGCGCCTTAGCGCCGCGTGCACTCGTGTTACGGTATCGCAGCAAGGATAGAGGACGGCTCCGTTCCAAAATGTAGCTCTCGCCTTGGCGTCGCGCACACGCGTTTCAAGCATCCGCAGCATCTTCAAAGAAGGGGTGCGGCTTCGTTTCAAACTATAGTTCTCGCCGCAGCGTGGACAACATGTGCGAAAACAATGTACAGCAGGTTCGAAGACGAAGGGCGGCTCCATTTCAAAATATGGTTCTCGCCTTTTCGCCTTTGCGCCTCGCACACTCTTCTGAAACAGTTGCAGCCTTCTCACGGATGGAGGGGGGCGCTTTCAAATGTTGCTCTCGCCGTTCGCAGCGAACGCTCGTCTTCAATTTTGCTAAACTTTCAAAGATGAGGTGGGGTTTTCAAATTCGTATTAACGGGGTGTCCTCTTCCAAGTGAGGCGCTCGCCTCAGCCCCTCGAGCGTCCCTCACGAAACTGCAAGAACATCCACGGTTAAGTCCTTGCCAATCTCAGAATAGGGCTCTCGCCTCAGCGCTGCGCGCGTGCGTTTTCCCCCCCCCGAAAAAAAGGTGGAAAACTACTTTGTTTAAGCATGAGATGATCGCATGGAGTGTCGCTTGATAACCCTCGACGTGTATGACCACACGTGAAAAACTTGCGCAACATATGAAAAGATGAGGGTGCCCTTCTTTGAAAGAGGGACCTCGCTGTACACCTCGATGAACAGTAAGATCGTCGTCTTTCGCGGTCCTGACTACGAGCCTGCAAGATGCAAGACGCTCTCGTGTCAAAGCGCGGCTCTCGCCAGCATGGCAGGTCCAACTGTGTTGATCTTTCAAAGAGGGTGCGGCAGGGGAGGGCGCCGAGCGCCCGACCCCCGCACGAGGGAAACCCCAGGATGCCCCCTTGAGCCTACCCCCCCCAACGTCGCCCCCTGACAATGCTCCGAAATCGGGACTCCAACGGCCGATCGGGACAATCCGGGCACCCCCGCAACGCTCCCGGCAAGGCGCAGCCGCTGGAACGCACCCCGAGGCTGGAAGACCGCGGACAGCCGACGAAAGCGTCCGAAAGCCTCAAGCCTCGACCCCCCTAACCCAGGAGAGCCCAGAATCGAATCGATAAATCGGATCGGCAATCGACATGAGTCGGATCGGCGGAAGTCGGCAGCCGAATCGGGAAAAGTCGAATCGGCGGAAATCGGCAGGCTAGTGTGCCTCCAATAAGAAATCGGAACCCAAATCGGAATCCCAGGTCGAATCGAATCGGAATCGGAATCCATCGAAATCGAATCGAATCGAATCGGAGGAATCGAAACGAGCCCTGCCTAACCTTGGCCAACGAGCCCCGAGCGAAGGACGCTCCAGGCTGCCCGCCGCCGCCGCGCTGGGCAGCGGCCTCCGCCCCGCCGCGTCGGCCGCGCCGGCGTCCGCGCGCGCGCCAAGCAGGAGCCGCGCCTCCGCTCCCCAAGCCCTTTCCGCACGCTGCGGGGAGCGCTTTGCAGACGGCCACGGCGCGATGGCCAGCATGGGCGACGACGACGACGACGACGACGACGACTAAACGACGACGAGCGACGACGACTAAACGACGACGAGCGACGACGACGACGACGACGAGCGCCGACGAGGAACGACGACGACGACGACGACGACGACGACGAGAAACGACGAGCAACGACGAGAAACGACGACGACGACGAGCGGCGACGACGGCGACGAGCAACGACGACGAGAGACGACGAGCGACATGCGACGACGGCAATAATGACCGCGAGCGACAACGACGACGCCTCCATCTAGGAAATTTTGAGCGTTGCTGGTGGTTCTCGTCGTCGGTCTCGGGAGTCGGTGTCGTCGTCGCGAGCGGCTCGTTGCTCGCTGTCGTCGTCGCAGGTCGCTCGTCGTCATCTCGGTTGTTGAGTGTCTCTGGATGTTCTCGTCGCTACGGCTGGAAGCGGCTCGGATAACTGGCGAGGATGGACTCTAAGAAGGCTCGGTGGATTGGTTTTGAATGGAGTTTGGCCCCCGGGCCCTCCAAGGACCTCCAAGGCCCTGCTCTGCCTCCGACTCATCCTTCCTCCTCTCGGCCTCCCCACGTTTCCCTCCTCCATATTGTCCTCCTCCTCCTCCTCTTCCTCCTCCTCCTCCTCCTCCTCCTCCTCTTCCTCCAGTTCCCAGTTTCCAATTTAGCGGGCCTGATCCGCGCGCGCCGCGGGCCCACGCCTCGAGCCTACTGTAAGGGCTCGACTCCTGCACGCCTGGCGGTTCCTTGTCGGAGCATCGCAATCTCTCCTGAGGGCCAGGAAAGCAACCCTTGGCCTTGCGTCCTGTGAGGGTGCCTGGCAGGCACTCTGCTCGAACCTTCTTGCTCCGATGAACCGTCCACCCCCCGCATCTCAAACAAAACGTCACCCCTCGATAGGTACGGAGGTGGGGACGGTGGGATTCATGGGTGTAGAAAACTCCAGGATGGGGGCAGCAGGGTTGATTAACCCAGCGAGCTTTGCCAAACGCCCCAACCCGAGCACACCGCACACACACACACACACACACACACACACACACACACACACACACACTGGATGTTGTCACCATGCCGCTCAATCGAATGTGGGCTCAGTTGAGCCTCCCGAATGTCTACGAACGGTGACATTTTTGGGTGCCTTCAAGGCACCCAATTGGGGCCCATGGGCCCAAGCCAGGGATTGAATTACTGCTAGGCGTTTTACTACAAGGCTCATTTCATCAGCTTGGTTCCGAACGTGTTCGGGCATCTCCTCAGGAAGTTCATAAAAAGCTGCAGCCCGTTCAGCAACTGCGTCACCAAACTGGTTGGCAACATACGATATGGGGGTAAACCACACCAGGGTCAATATCTTGAAGATATGCATGCGCCTTGACCTAGTCAAGGGTGAAGGGGTGGGTCCGCTCCGAGAGAGCCTCCCAGAACACACGCCAGAAATCAGTATTGAACATGTGACGCCATTGTGCCCCATGTCTATACCTTCGGACAACATATAGACTATCTGTGATTAGATGGAGAGGCCCCTGCAATCGGAAAGCATTGATGGCGGCAGTGAGCTCCCCTCGGTTGATGGTCTGCTTGCCTGGGACTGGGCCGAAAATGGTGCCAATCGCACGACTGTCCTGATCGAACAGTACTCGCCCCCAGCCAATTCTCCTAAGCCTTGAATCCCCAGTGAACTTACCTCCCGAGGCATCAACTCCAACAGCCCGCCATTCTTGTGAATGCGCCCGCCCCGTATAAGACCCCTACAACATAACTACTCCAAGAATACTCCCAAAGTACCCCCGCGAAGTACTCCCAAAGTACTTTTGAAATAGGGTCTCGCATAAGCACAAATAGGGCGGCGGATACACACCGCGAAGCGGAACGATTATAAAATGGTCGGACGAAAGGTCGCTTCGGACTGGTGTGTTTGCCAGTCCAAGCCGCTGAACCCTCGGACACGGAGTGGCGATCCAGGGGGCCCCTTCGGGGGGATACAGGCGACGATTGCACGGCGGGGGACTGGGCCCCCTCGAAGGCACAGCCGAAAAATCCACCGCCGCCGACCCTGACGACGACGAAAACGAGGAGGAGGGGGAGGAGGAGGAGGAGGGAGGAGGAGGAGGAGGAGGCGGGCGAGGGGGAGGGGACCGAACAACTCACACCAGGAGGGGGAGGAGGGAGGAGGGAGGATGAGGAGGAGGAAGAGGAGGAGGAGGAGGAGGAGGAGGGGAGGGGGAGGAGGGGGAGGAAGGGGAAGAGGACGGCCAGCCGTTTCCCGCAGAGCCAGCCGCGTCTCCCTTCGAAGCGTTCGTGAACGCCTCGCTCTCACGGCGAGCCTAAACTCAAAAGTCCCCGCTCAACGCGGGGAGGTCCTCGGAATCGCGCCGAGGTCACGTTTTCGGAGGGGCCCTCATTTTTCATTGCATTGCCGAAGCTTGCAAAACGGCCGCCCCTCCGAAACATGACCTCGGCGCGTTTCTGAGGACCTCCCCGCGCTGCCTCTCGGCCGCGTCGCGCAGCCGAATTCGGCACACCCTAACGAGCTATCTCGAGCACCGCGCAAGCCAGAGAGATACCTCCAGGCGAGCCCGCGACCACCAGCTGAAACCCCAGGCGAGCGGCGGCGCACCCTAAGGAGCTATATTGAGCCCGCGCACCCCAGAGAGATACCTCCAGGCAAGCACACCAGCGGCCGACGATGCTGCCTCCCCGTTCGTTTGAATCCATCCTCCGTGCCCCTTTGATCCTGACCCTAAAAGTCCCCCCGTCTAATCTCATGCCACCCCTCCCATCCACCCACCGCCGACCCTGAAAACGATGAAGACGACGAGGGGGAGAAGGAGGAGGAGGAGGAGGAGGAGGAGGAGGGGGAGGAGTGGGACGGAGGGGAGGAGGAAGAGGAGGAGGAAGAGGAAGAGGAGGAGGAGGAGGAGGGGGGGAGGAGGAGGAGGAGGAGGAGGAGCAGGAGGAGGAGGGAGGGAAAAGAGGAGGAGGAGGAGGAGGGGGAGGAGGGCAGGATGAGGAGGGGGAGGAGGGGGAGGATGGGGAGGAGGAGGAGGAGGAGGAGGAAGACAAGAAGGAGGAGGAGGTGGAAGAGGTGGCGGAGGAGGAGGAGGGGGAGGGGCACGGTGAGGAGGAGGAGGAGGCCGATGGCCAACTCCTCCTCCTCACCGTGCCCCTCATCCCCTCCGCAGTCCTCTTCTCATTATCGTATCCGTCGGCGCATCGACGGCCAAATTACTGATGGAGTCATGGGGGTTGGTGGCGCGACGAGGCTGCAGCATGGCGGCGAAGGATCGCAGGCCCATTCCACCCCCTGCCCCGTGGCCATCGCCCGCGCCCAGCCAAGATGCCAGGGCAGCGACCAAGGGGAGGGAGGCGGCTTGAACCTGCCATCCGCCATCTTCTCGCCCCATGCTGCAACCTCGACGCGATACCACCCCATCGCAGCGAGCAGCCTAGGACTCACCCGCACCAGCAGCCTTGCGACTCCACTTCGTGGCGTCCTCGACCTGGGCGCGCAGGGCCGGCTGCGCGTGCTCCCACCACCCGCTGGCCGCCAACTCATCGCGCTCCGAGCTCAAGAGCCGCTTCAGCTTCATCGGGCGGCCAGAGAACTCCTTCAGTGCCATGAGGCACGTCGCCTCCGACACGCGCACCTTCGTGTGCATGGCCATCTTCTGGTACTGCTCCGTCACCGTCTGGTCGTGCTGCTGGTACAGCTTGGCCGCCGCCGTCCACTCCGTCTCCCTGGTCGAGAGAGTGACCGCGTGGTTCTTCACCGTCAGCGGGGCCGTGTAGTCCGCCAGGATCGAGTCCGTCGCGTGCGCCAGCAGCTGGTCGAGCTCAGCGTCCGCGGCGAGCCCCCCTGACCAGAGCTCGCCACGCGCAGTCCCGAACTGCAACCTCTCGATCGGGATGGCACTCTCGTCGAGCTTCTGGCGCCTCGCTGGCAGGTCGATCTCCGCCTGAGCCGTCAAGCGGCACCGCAAGGCGACCTGCCACTGCTCCAGGCGAGTCGAGGCCGCGCCAGCCGCGGCCTCGGGGAGGCGGAAGATGGGGGAGGCAGAGCAAGCGACGTAAGTCGAGTGAGCGAAGTCCGCCCACGGGGATAGGGGCGTTGGCCGATGGCACGGGGCAAGAAAGCAGGAGGGAGACGAACCTGGATTCACGCACGTGTCCTCCGCTCCCTTCACCACCCTCGTTCGTCCACCCTATCCCCTCCCCAGCCCCCCTCCGCCTTTCCGCGCAAACCGCTCCAGGATGGCGAGAGGGCGGCAGGGGGATTTGGGAGGAGGGTGGGTAAACGAATGAGGGGGGAGGAGCGGAGGACACGCACTGCAGATCCTACCCCATGCCCCACCCACCTCCCCCCGTGAGTCCTTAGCTCTGGGCTCACTTCATTCCCGTGTGACTCCCCCCCCCCCCTGGCCCCAGCCAGCCCCAACTCCCGCGCCCGCCTTACGCATCTAGCAGCTGCGCAAGGCACGGGAGCGGGAACGGGGAGGGGGGCAGAGAGGCTGGAGGGAAGGAGAAGTCAGGAAGTCACGGAGGGCGACGACGACGACGAGTGGCCTTAAGAAGACTGTCGAACGCCGCCACCGCCTCCTGGGTGATCGCCAGAGTCTTGTCCGCCTTGACCCGCGCGGCAGCGCCATCAGGCAAGGACATGTACTTCAGCAGGGAATCGGCAAGGTCCAGGTTCTCGGTGAACAAGATGACGAATGACAACTTCTCCATGCCCTCATCGTCTGGCACCTGAGACCGCAGCGTCTTGCAGGCGCTCGCGATCGTGGTGACCTCCTTCAACTCGGCCACCGAAGCCGAATACGTGTTGGTAGCACTGCCGCACAGCATATCATTGAGAATCGTTAGCACCTCGAGCGCCGCTGTCTCCCGAGTTGCCGAATCCGCCTCCGACAAGTACATGCCATCGAGGCCCTTGGCGAGGTTCGTCACCTGGTTCAGCGCGTCGGCACTCTCGACGCTCTCCTTCCCACGGTTGGCGCGCGCCCAGTTGGACGCCACCTCGGCATACTGCGTGACCTTCGCACTCAGGCTGATCGAAGCCTTCTGCTTCTCCAACGACGCCTGGATACTCGCGAAGGCACCACCAGGATCATCGAAGCTCTCGGCCCCCTTCTCGGCGAAAGCGCGGACGGAATCGGCCGTGGCGTTATCGAAGGACGCTGAAACGACGTGCTGCTTCATGATATCCTCGGGAGGCGCACTAAAAACGGGGTTCCAAACCGCGCGGCCGAGCCGCGGCTTCAGGGGCCGGCCCAGTGGGCATACTACGCCAGGGGCGGGGGGGGGGCATGGCGAAGGGGGGGGCGAGGAGAAAGAGAGCGAGGAGGGGTGCAGGACGAGGAAAAGGATGAGGTGGGTATCATCATCATCATCATCACATCCATCACCAACAACATCATCATGGTCACCGCCAAAAACATCATCACCATCAACACCGTCATCACCATTAGCAATATGATCATCATCATCCACATCGCTATCACCAGCAAAACGTCACCATTATGAGCATCAACATCATCGTCAACCACATCGTCATCACCGACACCAGCATCATAATCAACACCATCACCATCATCATCAGTTTCAGCATCATCTTCATCACCATCGCCATTACCGCCATCTGCAGTGCCAACATCTTCATGCACCATCACTAACATCATCAGCCTCATCGTCATCGTCATCACCATCAACAGCATCACTACCATCATCAACACCATCAACAACATCATCGTCATCATAATCACCATCAATCTCGCCATCACCGTCACCATCATCAACACAAATGTCACCATCAATATCAACTTCACCGTCATCAGCGCCACCACCGTCAACATTCTTAACAAACAGATCATCGTTAACATCACTAGCACCAGCATGATCGTCATGACCATCAGTTCTCTTGGCATCGTCATCACCTTCAACAGCAACATCATAACCAACATTATCAACAACATCAACATCACTATCGTCATCATCAATATTATCATAATCAGCGCCGCAATGACCGTCATGCCATCGTCAACATCAGAACCGAGACCACCGTGATCAGCGCATATAGGCTGTATACGATGTCCTCATCATGTCCCATCATCCTCCTCCTCGTCCTTCCTCATCATCATACGCATGGGCCCCTCATCCTCATCCTCATCCTCATCCCTCCTCATTCCCTTCCTTGCCCTCCTCATTCCCTTCCCTCCTCCTCATCCTCCTCTTTGTCCTCATCCTCCTCCTCCTCCTCCCCCTCCTCTGTGTCCTCATCCTTGTCCTTATCCTTGTCCTCCTCCTCCTCGCCCTTCATCTCATCATCACCCTCGTCATCCTCATCATCGTCATCACCACCGTCCTCATCCTAACTATCATCCTCATCTTCGCCCCCTTATCATCACCCTCATCCTCATCCCCATCGTAATCCTTATCCCTCCTCCACCGTCCCTCCTCCCCCCACCCTGGCGAACACGATCAAACGACCCCTCAGGAAGCAAAATGGTGGACCATGGGTTCAGTTGGAGTTTCCACCCAAGCGGTCCCGCATGGCCGCAACCCTGGGCACCAACTCCTTCTCGAGGTGGAAGTACTCCCCCATGCGCAGCTGCTGGCCCTTCGCCTCCTTGAGCTGGGCCATGGCCGCCTCGATGACGACAATGTTCACATGCGTCAGCTCCTCGGGCAGGCTCTTGAGGTCGGCCTCGGCGGTGGCGATCGGCCCGCCGAGCCTCTTGGTCGCGGGCAGCACCCTGCGATACGTCGCCAGGGCATCGCGGTAGAAGGGGCTCGCCCTGATCGATGCGAAGATGGGAGAGCCAGACCTGTCCAGCGCCTCGACGGCCAACCAGGACTCGCGCGTCAGCTTGGCGTCCTCCACAGCGATGCCAACCAACGCCCTGCACACGTTGACGACGGTGTCGCCCCAGTCCTCCAGCTCGCCATTCGTCTGGCACTCCATGACCCCGTCGACCTGTAGGACGAGCTTCTTGCATATGGCCACCAGCACAGGGAGAGAGTTCTTCCCGTCAGCGATCAAGGGGCAGAGGACGCAGTCGTAAAGGTTGTCAAGCATCTTCGAGCACCGCTCGGCGACTGACCCGCCGACTGCTCGCAAACGCGGCTGCATCACGTCGAACTCGATGTGCTCCTCGCTGTCTACCTCCAACTTAGAGGGGGACTGGATGTCCCAGAACTTGTCGAACAATGCCTCGATGCCCTTGGTCACCGCCTCGACCTTCCAATCCTTCAAGGCCCTCACGACCAGCAGGAACTTCGTCGTGTAGAACATGGGCGGCTGCTTGTTGTTGATCTCAGTGCACAACGCCGCGAGCGCGGCAGAGTCCATCGTCAGGATGTCACCCTTCGCGGCCATCTCGCACTTCTCGTTAAAGTCAATCTCCTCCCTCAAGGTCGTCGCCAGGCCGGACCGCCCGACCTTCGTCGCCTCCTCGTGGTAGATCTCGGCAGTCCGCCGTTCGCGGCCGTAGGACGTCCTGCCGTTGAGGACAGAGCTTGTCCGCAGCTTGAAAACCTGGGCCCCCCACTTGTACTTGAAAGGGTCGTGCTCGAGCATCTCCTTGGGGGGCGGCTCCATCTTGGGGCAGACGCCCATCGGAATGTCGTCGCCGATCTGGGATACCGAGTCGCGTGGCCCGATGACAGAGCCTGGAGGCGGCGCAGCGCTGCCGACGGCCAAGGGCGACTCCAAGCTCAAGGATGCCACGCTCGGGGACCCCGCGCCCACTGCGCTGCCCGACGGGAGGCGAGCAACCACTGGGCTGTCGGCAATCATCCTGGCCCTCCGAGTGCACGCAGCGTTGCGAACAGAAGCCAAGCGATGACAGCCCCCGAGGATGGTCGGGGCACTCGGCTCGACGACGTCGCTGGCCCCCGTGTCGGCAACCTCCGCAGCGACACGCTGAGGATCCTCTGCTGCCGAGCTCTTCGGCACCTTCTTCGCGTCGCAGCGCCGCGTGATCTCTGCCATGGACAACGCCTGGGACGGCAAGAGAATGAAACTCGGTCAGCCAGGCAGCCCGTGAGAAACCCAGGACGGTCGCCCAAAAGAGTTTACGACTGGGGCCCAGGCGAGGGCCCCAATACCGATACACAACGACGCTTCGCCAAAGACCCCCAGACTCAGGACAGCCAACGCGAACCTCTCGAAACGATATCTGGTGGGAGCATGCGTGCCTACGAAACACACGAGGACGCGACATCGCCGACGCATCGGCGCATCACCGAAGCATTGGCCCTCCAAGATATCACGCATCCCCTGAGCGCCTTCACGACCAGCCAAGACACTCCTAGGAACAAAAACGCAATCTCTCACAAGCTGGCCACACAGTCAAGTCTTCCAAGTATGGGACGCCCACATATAAACCATAACAACCCCCCACATGCTATTTCATCTGCCCCCTGGGGGCTTCGGGACCTCGGACCTGCGGACCCCCCACCCGCGAAATAAAAAAAAACAAACCTTTCGAACCCTAGTGTCGGCCCTGTGACCTTGGCCCCAGTCGGCTCCACGTCGGCCGCGACCTGCTGCTGCATCACGTTGAAGGTCTCCACGGGCTGGTCCTTGTGGATGCAGTTGGCAACCTGTAAGCTGTGCTCGTCGCGATTCAGGGACTTCCTGTGCTCCATGGTGAAGATGCGCGGCGCCCCCGCAATCTCCAAGGTGAGAACTCCAGCGTATTCAGCGCCCCATTCGTCCCAGATCGTCCTGCACTTGATGCCAACCTGCTCTGGCATGTACTTCCAGTGGTCGAAGAACTCACTCCTGCTGAACGCCCCGAAAGTACGGGATACAACTTGCGAAGATGTGACGCCCTGGCTCACCGCACCTGGGTAGAAGGAGAGCTGCGCGTTGTCGTGCAAGACGCCGTTGGACTTCTTGAACGACCTGTTGAATGCATCCTCCGTGCGGCACTTGAGGGCGCACACGCTCATCTCCAAGTACGAGTAGCCGATCTCCCAAGTCTTGTAGCAACGCTCGTGGGCCTCATCCCCATGGGCGGGCCCGCCGCTCTCCAGGGACCCCAGGCAGAAGCAGCAGCAGGAGCTCGGCACGCCAGGGTCCACGACGGCGTTCGCCCTGGGCCTGGGCTGCGGAGGCGCGGCGCCAGCTGCAGCGGACAGAGCAGCAGACACGCGGCTCGCGGCGGCCGAGCCGCTCCCGCCGTTCACGGCCGTCGGCGGGCCCCTCGGCCTCTTCGGGGCCTGCCCACGCGCGGCGGAGGCGGGGTTTCGCTTCCCCCCCATCGCAGCTCGGGTGTAAGTGCGGGTGTTGTACGCGGCGCAACCGCGCCGAGGGGCGTCGGCGGGGCGCCTCGAAACCAAACGGCCAGAGGGAACCAGCAGCAGCAGCAACTTGGGTGCCACAACGCCTCAAATTCAATAAACATCCAATCATCAACTGGCAACGCCACACTGGCGGCCCTCGACCGAACTAATTGGTCAGTCCAGTTCTTTCATACTACACCCACGGGCAATTCATCTCGGGCCACACCCCTGGACGGGAAGCGTAAAATGGAGAATCTGCGACTGCGAAAGCCGAAACCCCTGAACACATGTAACGCACGACATCGTGATATAGACCCATCCCCTGGCACGGCGCGAGCACAATCGAATAGAAATGCACAGCTTTCAACTCCCTGCAAGTGGCAACAAGAAGCCGAGACCTCACGTAAATGTAATGTAGGAGGAGATCCAAACTATCCACAACAAACTTTGGGGTCTCACCGAGGGGGGCGAGGGGACCTCCCAGGCCGGATTGCTCCGGGAGACTCACACAACTGTTTGTGGTCCACGCTCGTCTGCTTGCTGCATTTGTAAACATATGGTCTGTGTACTGTTACAAACATATATTTGTATACACATACCCACACATAGTATATACAGTTTGAATGTTTATGCGTGGACATCCTTGTTATATGTGCACATGTACCGTCGCCACTCTCCCCACAAAAGAAACACAAACATCAGTTATGCACCGATCCTCCATTTACCAAAAAACTAATGTCGAATTGAACTCAGGGGGCTCCGTTTTCAAAAATAATAACAACGTGACAAAACTCACAACAGCATGCATATGTGTATATACTGCTATTGTTCCCGCGGAAGTACGACATTTGTGCATGTTATATATTGTGCGGAAAAACCAGCAGCGTGCATACGTGCAGTTGCTAATGCGGAAAACGACATTTGTGTAAGTGTTACATCAGAAATACGACACATGTGTACGTTGTGTAGTGTGTATGCGTGCATGCGGAGATACGACGATTGACCATGCGGAAACACAACAGCGTGCATACGTGCATGTTGGATACTGCAAACGTGTACCCGCCACCGTGCCTCGGGCACGGAGTGGGCGTGTCCTCAGGTCGTGTGCCTCAGCCTCTGAGCCTCAGTCCTCAGCCTGAACAATCTTTCAGGGACCAGGACCCCAAATTCTCAAATCCCAAGCCTTGTCGCGTGACCCCTGGGGCTTCTCGCTGCTTGTCGCATGACTGTTTCGGGCCCAAGAGGGCCCCAAGACGGGCCAAGAGGGCCCCAAGCAGCCCCCAAGTCGGCCCAAGAGGGCCTCGAGTCGCCCAAACATCGGCCGAAGAAACCCAAGATCGTCTCAAGACGGCCCAAGAAGCCTCAAAGAGGGCCCAAGAGGCCTCAAACACGACTCCAAGAGGGGCCCAAGAAACCAAAATCGCTTAATTCCTACAAGAAAACATTCATTTTTATCATATACGGCTTGCCGGCCTTCACAACGTTGAAGACGGCCCAAACGCCCCCCCAAGACCGCCCCAAGACGGCCCAAGAGGCCCCCAAGAGGCGCCCAAGTCGGCCCAAGAGGGCTCCAAGACGGCCCAAGAGGCCCCAAGACGGCCCAAGAGGGCCCCAAGACGGCCCCAAGAGGGGCCCAAGAGGGGGGGCCCGAACCCACAATCCGAGCCTTCCGCCCCAAGACGGCCTCAGAAGGCCCCAAGAGACGCCCAAGAAGCCCCAAGAGGCCCCCAAGAAGCCCCCAAGTAGCCCCCAAGAGGCCCCAAGAGGCCCCCAAGATGCCCAAAAGAGGCCCCAAGTACCAGTTGAGGCATGTAGCTTCTAACCCGCAACCCCAGGCACCAAGGATCTCAGACCACGAGACCCCATGCACACCTACAAGAAGCCACTGACCAATAACCAAGGCACGGTGGCGGGATAGGCCGAAGGCCACTAGATACAACGGCGCGCCGACGTGGACGCGCTGGGTAGATGCAGGAACCCGGAAAAGGCGGGGAACGCGAGGAGAAAGAGAGGAATAAGGATCGTTACTCCTGTCAAGCGGAAACCTACCGACGTAAGGTGCGCGGAAGATAAAACACGCTGGGCGAAACAACTACGGGCATATTTCGCCGTTAGCTGGACCGAACCTCCAACCCTACCCTTGGAAACCAACCCAACATGTCTGCGCGCTGACACGGAATCACACTTGGGCACCGCTGGCGCAGCGCGACGCGACGAGCATGCCCCTTCGCCGCAGAGAAAAGACACACATACACAACACACAGACACAGACACACCACAGAGACACACACACAGACAGACGCAGACGCAACGCAGACACAACGCAGACGCATACACCGCACACATGCATACATACACACAACACACATACGCTCGCTGTCCGAGCCCGAAAAGCCAACGACGCCGCTGGCGTGCGCCGCCAGGCGCTGCACGCGGTGCAACAGCTTCTGGGCGTCCACCCCCCATGACGTCGGCCGTACGAAGGAGGACAAGCAGTAATGCCTGCCTGCCCTCCTCGCTTGGCGACTCATGCAAAAGTACGGGGTCGTGTTCCGCATACCCGCGGCGCGCGCGTTCGGAGGCGTCTTCTTCGGCGGCATCCTCCCCGCCCGCCCCCGAACGCGCTGCAATCTTGATTGCCTGCCGAATCGGCACTTTGTCCCGACCCCGAACATTCTGCCCATCACTGAGCCGCCGAGTGTCGAAACCGTCGCCGCGCGACCAGTGGATGCCTCAGGCGCTCCTTGCCACCGAGCGCGATCTCGTGATCTTGCAGCTCGTAAGGGCCGTGTCCTCCTCGGCTGTGGTCGCCAGGCCCACGCCGCCGACGTCGCAATGGACGGGGGCGGCGTTGGCGTTGTCGTCCATATGGACGACGCCATTGCCTCTGGCGCGCCGCCCCGCGGCGCCCCGCGCCCGTTGCGGCCGCGCCCGCTGCGGCCCACGGCGGCCTCTATCGTCCCGCTGCGGCCGCGCCCGCGCCGCTCCGCGGCAGCGCTGGCGCGGCGCCGCCGCCGCGGGGGGAGGGGGGGGTGGCGCGGTGCGCAGGTGGGAAGGGGGGGGGCGCAGCGGTGGAGGGGTGCGCGAGGGGGAGGGGGGGGGATGAGCGGCGCTCGTGAAGGGAGAGGCGCTGAGCGGGAGGCGGAGGGGATGGGGGTGGGGAACGGGGAGGGAGGGGGAGGGGAGGGGGGGGAGGGAGGAGCAAGGGTGCGCAGCGATGGGAGAGGGAGGGGGATGGGGGAGGGGGAGGGGGGGGGGCGGGATGGGGGAGGGAGATGGGGGAGGGGAATGGGGGAGGGGGATTCGGATGGGGTTGGCGGATGGGGGAGCGGGATGGGGGGATGCGCGGTGGAGTGGGGGAGGGAGAGGAGGTGGGGGAGGGGGAGGGGGAAGGGGTTGGGGGGGGCGTGCGGCAGCCTACCGACCCTGCCCACCCACCCCGCGCAACGCGGCGGCCGCCCCCCTCCCTCTCCGCCCGCCTACCCCGCACAACGTGCCGACGGCGTCGCGCCGCGCGGCAATGAGCAATGCCCTGCGCCCAGCGCGCCACTTGGCCGCCAGGCCCGTAACGCCCCACGCGACCTTCGCAATGTCCGCCTCGGTCGCCACGAGGGTCAGTAGCGCTTGTTGGAACTGCGCCCCGCGACCCGCTGCCGTCGGGCCAGGCGCCACGGTATAGCCTCGAGGCAATCGATCACTTCGTCGATCGGGGCGCAGCGCCGTTCGTGCCGCGCGCGGTCCAGCGCAGCGCAAACCGCTGCGGCGCTCTGCCCGAAACCTCTGCGCAATGACCAGCGCGGCTTTCGGCCGCTTATGGCCGCAATGCCCGAAACCGCGATCGCCCCCGTGACTTTCGGCCGCTGCTGGCGCGGCCGCCGCCTTGTTGTCGGTAGAACGTGGACTCTAATTCGGCACCGGGCCGCGCCAAGCACCCAGGGCCCATCAACTCCAAATGGGAGTGAAGGTCCGATAGGCGGTTGCCCACTGGGGTGCCGCTAAGGGACATGCACCCAGCATGTACCCAGCATGGGCCCACTGGACCAGCATGGGCCTGCATGAGGGCTTCTTGATCAGAACGCTCTTTGGCTCGCCGTCTTGAGAAGCGCGGGGGAAGGGGGGGGGGCGCGATGCGCAGGGGGGAAGGGGGAGGGGCGCAGGGGGTGGGGAGTGCGCGGCGGGGAGGGGGGAGGGATGGGCGGCGCTCGCGAAGGGATGGGCGCTGAGAGGGAAGGGGAGGGGATGGGGGTGAGGGAACGGGGAGGGAAAGGGGAGAGGGGGAGGGGGAGGGGAGGGAGGGGGAGGGAGGAGCAAGGGTGCGCAGCGATGGGAGAGGGAGGGGGATGGGCGTGGGGGAGGGGGAGGGGGAGGGGACGGGATGGGGGAGGGAGATGGGGGAGGGGAATGGGGGAGGGGGATTCGGATGGGGTTGGCGGATGGGGGGGCGGGATGGGGGGGATGCGCGGTGGAGTGGGGGGGAGGGAGAGGAGCTGGGGGAGGGGGAGGGAGAGGGGGCGGGGGGGGCGCGCGGCAGCCTACCGACCCTGCCCACCCACCCCCCCCGCGCAACGCGGCGGCCGCCCCCCTCCCTCTCCGCCCACCTACCTCGCGCAACGTGCCGACGGCGTCGCGCCGCGCGGCAATGCCCTGCGCCCACCGTCGCAGCCGCGGTCCTTACCCCCCTCCTCCCCCCCTCCTCCCCACCCACCCACCCCCTATGCGGCCCCCCCAGGCGCTGGCACACTGCCGACGCCTCACCCTTGACATGGCGGACGCAGCCTGTGGAGTGCCCGGTGAGCACTCGGTATGTCACCATTTTGAAAATTTTCAAATTAGTGATTCACCATTTTGAAAATTTTCAAATTACTGATTCACCATTTTCACAATTTTCTAATTAGTGATTCACCATTTTTCAAAATTTCGCTCACAAGATCGTTTTAGAACAACGGCTGTCCTGAAAAATAAAAAGTACTGGTTCACCA